GGGCGGGGGAGGGGGACAGGCAGGGGCAGACAGTGGACAGATGGCCTGGTCATTTGACCAGTGGGCAGCAGCACCAGGGTCTGCCAGGGGTCCTGGCATGGGCAAAGGGGCAGAAGTGGGGATGTGCAGGCACTTTCGGGCGCCTTGGGGAGCGCAGGGTGGGGCTGGCTGGGCAAGTGGCTGTCGCGCTGGCGTCTCATATACCCATGTGTTTCCTGCCTGGCTGTGTTCCACGATGGATTAGGGGCAGCACATTAAGCAGTGCGGACTCTGTCGAGCTCTGGGCCATGGGCGAGACGTGGGCATGCCCCATGTCAGGGGCTGGACTGGGTGGCCGTGGGGGGCTGCACTGGGCCGGGGTCCAGCCCAGCCTCCCGCTCCCCGCCCCACTCCGTCGCCAGGAGCTGATCCGCAAGGGCATCCCGCACCACTTCCGGGCCATCGTGTGGCAGCTCCTGTGCAGTGCCACGGACATGCCAGTCAAGAACCAGTACTCGGAGCTGCTCAAGATGTCCTCGCCGTGCGAGAAGCTGATCCGCAGGGACATCGCCCGCACCTACCCAGAGCACGAGTTCTTCAAGGGCCAAGACAGCCTGGGCCAGGAGGTCCTCTTCAACGTCATGAAGGTGAGGCCCACAAAGAGGCACGTCCCACGCCAGCCCACGGGCCCCTGGCCTGACACGCGTGCCTTCCCTTGCAGGCGTACTCCCTGGTGGACCGGGAGGTGGGCTACTGCCAGGGCAGCGCCTTCATCGTGGGCCTGCTCCTCATGCAGGTGGGTGGCCTGGGGCCAGCTCGCAGCAGGGGCAGCCCATCCCCAGGAGGTGGACAATAGCAGAGTATTCCCTCCATCCAGTGTCCTCCTAGGGTCAGAGCCTCCCTCTCCATTCACTTGTGACCTCTGACAGTCCCCAGGCCAAGCCCTCAGTGTGGGCACAGAGGGGCTGGCCACCTGTCCTGTCCGCAGTACCATCCAGGGGCTGGAGGTGCAGGCCGTCCTGCTCGGTCGCCTCCCAGAGTTGGACGGGGCACACAGGCAAGGGGCTTAGGTCAGCCCGTGTGCTGTTGATGGGGCTGGGGTTCCCTCCAGAGAATCCAGCAGGCTTAGGAGGGGGAGAAAGGAGACGGCTGGGAGGGGTACGGAGGGTGTCTCCACCGTGGGCTCTGGAGGTGGCCAGACCTGGGGTTCGAGTCCCACCTCCACGGTTTCCTGCCAGGCAGCCTTCAGTGGGTGACTTCAGCCTCACGAGGTTTCCCATCAGTGAAGCATGGGTGACTATATTTACCCGGGGTTTATGGTGAGGGTCCAGCAGCTCGGCGCAGTCCTGTGCGGTCAACACAGACAGAGCAGGAACAGGCGAAGCGCACACACTGGGGCCATAGGAAGAACAGCAAGTGCCCCCTCCCACCCTGCCACCCTCACAGTCCCCCGTCCCCCCAGATGCCCGAGGAGGAGGCCTTCTGCGTGTTTGTGCGGCTCATGCAGGAGTACCGCCTGCGGGAGCTCTTCAAGCCCAGCATGGCCGAGCTGGGGCTCTGCATCTACCAGTTCGAGTACATGCTGCAGGTGAGCGTGGCCGGCGCCCTCCACTCCTGTCTGCCGGCCCACACCCTCGGGCACTCACCTAGGCCTCCCCACGGGTCTCTGTGACTGAAAATTCCAGGGCTGAGAAATCACGTCCAGACGGCCCGGTCAGAAAGGGGTCCTGTCCCCATGGGGCCCCGGGGCACGGCCCCGAGGGATGTTTCCAGGGATGGGTCAGGGGCCAGCCACTTATGGTGGGGGATCCTGAGAGCATGGGGATTCCAAAGCCACTAGAGGGGAGGGGGGGTCGGGCTGGCTCTCAGCAGACACACCCACGGCCCCCTCCCTGTCTGCTGCGGGGTGTGTGTGGCGGAAGGAGGGAAAGTGTTGTCTGCCTGCCTCTGCTGATTACCGGAGAGCCGGAGAGCCGCAGACTTCTCTGTTTATAAATAGCAGCCCCCGCAGGGCCCGCTCCTGGCTGGCAGACAGAGCACGCACATGCAGGCGCACACACACACGCACACACACTCACACAAGCTTGCTCCGAAAGCTGGGCGCAGGTGGGACTGGGTGACTGTGCGCAGCAGCGGGCAGGGAGACAGGAGGTGGGAGCCTTGACCCTCCGAGGACCAGCCCTGAGACACACCTGGATGTGAAAACCTCAATCCTGAGGCCTGGAGGACGGGGTGCTGTCGCCGAGGGGGACCTGGGGGTGCCGGCACGCAAGTGGCCCAGGCCCACAGAGAAGCAGCGACCCCACCCCAGGCTGGAGAGTGGAGAGCTCCTACAGCGAAGTAGGCAGATGGCACCAGAGAGCCCCCATCTGGGAGGAGGCTGGGGAAGGCAGGGGGGCCAGCCCGAGAGCATCTCTCAGTGAAGGACATCAAGGGGGTCCTAACGCCTTCTCCAGCCTCAGTTTCCCCAGTTTCTGTCACTTTTCGGCAGTCCAAAGTTTAGGCCAATCAGACCAGCATCCGCTGAGCACTGCCGGTCACAGTTCATCGTGCGGGGGCTGTGGGTGGACACGCAGCTGGCAAGGTGCAGAATATGGGGTGAGCGGTGATGGGCTCCCACTGAGCCCCACCTCTCACTTTGTGGGTGACCTTGAGGGGTTATATAACCCCCCACCTGAGCCTCAGAAGCTCCCCCTTGGGGTGGTTGTGAGGGTCCCGTGAGCAGCTGTCCCAGCACCTGCCCAGAGGGCACACCCCACACCCTCCTGCCACTCCTGTCACCCCTGCCTGTGTCCCCACCTCGTGCTACTCAGAGGGTGCTTCAACTTCACCCAAAGATAGTGCTGAGGGTGCACAGAGAAAGGGAGCCGAGGCTGCCCAGGGCAGATCAGGGAAGGCTCCCTGGAGGCGGGGGCACCGAGGCCCGGCACTTGCAGGTGGAGGGAGCCTGTGGGCCAGAGCGGACAGCTGTGCCCTGCGCCCTCCTCACGTGCAGGCCTCCTCCCCTGCCCGCAGGAGCAGCTCCCGGACCTGAATGCCCACTTCCGCTCCCAGAGCTTCCACACTTCCATGTACGCCTCATCCTGGTTCCTCACGCTCTTCTTGACCACCTTCCCACTGCCTGTCGCCACGCGCGTCTTCGACATCTTCATGTATGAGGTGAGGACCCCGTGCACCCCTTCCTCTCCCACACGCCCCACACTGGAAATGAATCCCAACCAGGCCGGGGACGGGCCGGGGCTCGGGGAGGGGTCAGGGGGCTCCCTGGAGACGCACTGCCACCGCCGCCTTTGCAGGGCCTGGAGATCGTGTTCCGGGTGGGCGTGGCCCTGCTGCAGGTGAACCAGATGGAGCTGATGCAGCTGGACATGGAGGCCATGTCCCAGGTGGGCCCAGGCAGAGGGACCGCCCCCCACACCAGGGGCACCTGGGCCGGGGAGCCCTCCCGAGAGATGCGGTGGCCTGGAGTCCCCGAGCACCCTGATCCTTCCCCATCCCCGCTGTCCCCTGAGGCCTGCCTGGAGGACCAGGGCGGGCCCCGGGGAGCCCCCAGCCTCTGCTGGACACAGGCCAGGGCCAGCAGCCTGGCAGCAGCAAGAGAGGGCGGCCGAGCCCTGGGAGGTCCCATCCCCTCTCTCCTGCCTCCAGCTCCGGGTTCCCCAAAGCCTAAAGTGGCTGAACTCCTCTCCCTGCATACAGTGACACTAGCCAAACCACGAGGCCTTGGGTGTGGTTTCGGCCCCAGCCACCAGGCCAGGCGAGGGCACAGGAGGGAGTGAGGGGTCTGGGGCGGCCTCTCCCCTACCACCCCGCCCCGGCTGCCCCGCCTGCTGGAGGAGAGGCCGGCCTGCTTCTCGCCGCCATGTCCCCATCATGCAGGCCCCTGCCCCCTCCCAGCGTCCTCCAGCTGGTGCTTCAGGGAAGAATGCACAAAGGCCACGGTTGTGTCCACAAACACAGGCGTCCATTGTCCACAGCTGCCAGAGGGGGCCAGCTGGGCTGGGAGCGGGAGCCAGCCTGGCCCCGAACCGCAGCAAGCTGTGTCCACTGGGGGCTTGCACTTAACCCTTCGTGGAGCCCCGGGGGGCCCCGGGCGAGCAGGCAGACCCCTGAGGGGTCTTCCATCTGGGTTGCTCCCAGCCACGGATTCCTCCACCTCCTCAGGCTCTTCTCACTGCCCCAGGGCAGCGGCACGCCTCCCCCTTCCTCCACGAAGGTCCCCTGTGCTCGGGCCCCACCCCACCCAGCCTTTGCCCTCAGTAGCTCCCACAGCCTGCTTTTCCCCTGCAAACTGAAGTCCTGGCTGCAGGCGGCTCCTTCTCTCTGATTCCTGCTCCTCGCTCTGCTGGCTCATTCCACACACACAGCAGGCCGGGCCCTGCGCTGGGGACATGGTGACGCCCCAGGCAGAGTGGCTCCCGCCGTCCCCCATGGAGCGCCCAGGCCCTCCTCCAGGGAAGCAGGGCGCAGAGGGGGCTCTGGCGGCCCCCCAGGAGTCAGGGCGCACGTGTCGGTGACCGCCCGTGTCCCCACAGTACTTCCAGCGGGTGATCCCCCATCAGTTCGACAGCTGCCCAGACAAGCTGATCCTCAAGGCATACCAGGTCAAGTACAACCCCAAGAAGATGAAGAGGTCAGTGCCGGGTGGCTGGGGTGCTGGCGGAGAGGGGGTCCCTGAGGGTGGGGCGGTGACCGCTGGCCCCCCTCTGCAGGCTGGAGAAGGAGTACGCAGCCATGAAGAGCAAAGAGATGGAGGAACAGATCGAGATCAAAGTGAGCCCCCCGGGAGGTGGGACGGGGACGGGATGCCCTTGGGAGAGCCCGTCACCACTCGCAAGGCAGGCGGCCCCAAGGAGGAGGCCCTGCCCGGCACACGTGGCACACTGGCCTGTCCTGAGGCTCTGACAGGTCCTCCCTCCGCCCACCTGCCCCTGTACTCACCGCCCAGCCGGCCCCACCATGGGAACAAGGCGGACAGGTCCCTGCCCTTGGGGGGCTCCCACTGTAGTGGGGAGACAGTGAACCCATTGGGATAGAGTATGGACTCGAGAAAGCTCTCTGGATAAAATGTGCAGGGGAGGGGGCGGAGCTGACCGGGAAGATTGCTGCAGGCTCAGGGAGTCGAGGGCAAAAGGCCTGAGGGGCTGGAGGAATACCAGGAAGGCCGCCCTCGAGAGTGGGAGCCCCGAGGTCAGGGCGAAGGAGGAGAGCTGAGGCAGGCAGGGAGGGGCCAGATGCCAGGGCCTGGAGGCCTGGGCGCAGCGCCCACCCATGGCCCCTGGGTCCCCTGGTGCCTGGCCTGCTGACCCACTAGGTTTAGGTTGTACGATTCTGTCACCGACTCCAATATGTGGGGTTCCTCTCCACACCACTAAGCAATACTCCGACACCAGCTGGGTGTCCTACAGTTCAACTCAATTCTGACTCCGGCTACCTGGAGAGAGCGTCAGATCCTACAGGTTAAGGGCTCGGTCCCACAAGACTAGACCCCACACTTCAGATGCCAGTCGCAAGTCCAGGATGTCACCTGTGCTTCTGACCCACCAGCTATAGATCAGAGGTTCCCACCGTCCCCTCCTTGGGTTCGATTATTTTGCTAGAGCGGCTCAGAGCTCAGAGAAACAGTTCACTTACTGGATCATCAGTTTATTACAAAAGGATGTAACTCAGGAGCAGCCAGATGGAAGAGACACAGAGGGCGAGGTCTGGGGAAGGACGGGGAGCTTCCACACTCTCCCCGTGATCGCCACCCTCCCGCACCCCCACTGCCCCCCAACCCGGAAGCTCTCCGAACCCACCCTTTTGGGTTTTTGTGGGGGTTTCATTACACAGGCGTGATTGATGAAATCACTGGCCATTGGCAATTGGTTCGGCCCTTTCCCCTCCCGGAAGGTCCAGGAATGGGGCTGAAAGTTCCATCCCTCTAATCACAGGGTTGGGTCCCCTGGCCACCAGCGTCCCTCCTTAGGTGACCCAGGGGCTTTCTAAAGGTCATTTCATTAATATAACAAAAGACACCTTTATCGCTCTTACAACTTAGGAAATTCCTAGGGTTTTAGGGGCTCCATGCCAGCACTGGGGAGGGGCAGAACGAAATATGTATTTCTTATTATAAACCACAAAATCACGGGGGGTTTCCTGAGTATGCAGAGCTCCTGAACCCAGACTTGCCTCCCTTTCCTTCCCTTTGCTTTCATCCCTCCACACATGGTTTTAGTTATTCAGTCAACAAGCATTTATTGAGCACCTACTGTGTGCCAGAGTCACAGCAGATACTGAGGGCTCCCCAGTCCAGTGGGGGTGGGAAGACAGACATGAACACAAACCCGAACCCCGAACGGACAGAGCCTGGCTCTGTCCTCTACAGGGGCAGAGTCCCACAATGGCTGGGACTGGAGTCCTACAGACCAGGGTTCAAATCCCAGCTCTCCCATGACCCAGCTGAGTGATCTGGGAAGGTGAATTCACCTCTCTGAGCCTCAGTGACCTCTTCTGCAAAATGGGGATGACTCTTGTTCTGCTGTTCAAATTATCATTATTATTATTATTACCACCACCATCATCATTATCCCCACCTCCTCTAGAAAGGCAGAGACCCAGATTAGAATCCAGGTCACTGGCCGCCCATACCTGAGGGGGCAAAAGGGCATCATTGTCCTGGCCGCGTTTGTAGGTTTTCCAGAAATGGTTTTGTGTCCTGAATGTTTCAGCATCTCCCTTTCTCAGGAATGGCAGCTTGACTGATGCACCAGTCCAAACGTGTATGTGTGTCTTGCTCATGCACAGACAAGGGACGGCTCCCATCTGGTGACCACAAGGGCCCAGCAGTAGGCAGGGACACAGCAGAACCTCGGACCATAAGCCCAGCCTAGAAATTTCCCACAAGAGGAGCCTGAGTGCCCCAGAGGCCTTACAGGATTCAGGCAGATGCCTTCTCCCTTGGCCCTGCCCTTTGGTCTTTCACCTTTAGCCTATTTTAAACTGTACCTGGGATTTGTTTTAATCAGGTCTGGTAAGGTGACAGACACAGAGACAACTGCCTTTATTATTATTTTTTTTGTGTGTGTGTGAGGAAGATCGGCCCTGAGCTAACATCTGCTGATCCTCCTGTTTTTGCTGAGGAAGACCGGCCCTGGGCTAACATCTGTGCCCATCTTCCTCTACTTTATATGGGACGCCGCTGCAGCGTGGCTCTCCTTTTAAAGGCAGTTGTCGGGAGCCAGCCCGGTGGCACAAGTGGTTAAGTGCACGCGCTCCACTGCGGTGGCCCGGGGTTCACCAGTTCGGATCCCGGGCACGCACTGATGCACCATTTGATAAGCCATGCTGTGGCGGCGTCCATATAAAGTAGAGGAAGATGGGCACGGGTGTTAGCCCAGGGCCACTCTTCCTCAAGAATACAAAAGAGGGGGGGGGATTGGCATTGGATGTTAGCTCAGGGCTAGTCCTCCTCACCAAAAAAAAAAAAAAAAAGGAGAGTTTATTACTCAGAGTTCCCAAGAGGAGGGGGCATGCCCACCATGCAGGGCCACACGGGGAAGCACCAGGCCCAGTCAGAAGGCAGAGGGAGCGAGAGGAAAGCAGGGCAGGAGCCTCATTGTGGTTTACATGGGAAGGAAGTGGCAAGGCAGCATAGGCAAATTTGAACACGTTTTTTTGAGTAATTTCAGGGGCTCTGGGCTATAGAGGTGGTCCCTAGTTGTCCTGGGACAACTTAGGCCAGAAGAAGACTGGCATGGTGTGAGAATTTGATACAGGAGGTGGCGAGGGGTGTGGGCTCTAGACTGGCCAGTTTGCATGTGACAGGTGCGCTCACAGGCAGGTTGTCTACTCTCTCTAGGAATTAGCTAGAACCTCAGGGGCCATCTCTCCAGGATGTCAAAGCATCAAAAATATAGAAAATTAAAAAAAAAAAAAAAGCCTGGGGCCAGCCCAGTGGCACAGCGGTTAAGTATGCACGCCCCGCTTCGGCGACCCCAGGTTCGCAGGTTCGGATCCCGGGCGCGCACCGATGCACCACTTGTCAGGCCATGCTGTGGCGGCGTCCCATATAAAGTGGAGGAAGATGAGCATGGATGTTAGCCCAGGGCCAACCTTCCTCAGCAAAAAAAGAGGAGGATTGGCAGATGTTATCTCAGGGCCAATCTTCCTCACACACACACACACAAAAGCCTGATTAGTGCATAGCCGCTCATAGTTCTTGTTCACTCTTTCTGTCTCATTTTCCGTCTGGAGTGGGCAAGAGAGGTGAGTTGTGGGTTGGAGACGTCAGCTCCTCCAAGGATGGCTGTGCTTGTGCAACAGTGGGTTCAGGCCAGAAAGCAGACAGAGCAACCCAGGGGTGAGAGGTCAGGACTCTGGTTCTAGATCACGATGAGGAACAGAGGCCTGTGCTGGGAGGCTCCGGCAAGACCCTGCCCGGCTCCAACTCCGTTTCCCCACCCACGACATGACTCAGTGACCATCAATCAAGTCTGCGATTCTCTCTGACCACAGTCGCTACCTGGGAGTGTTCTGGGTATTTCCATCACCTCTCTCCCCGGAAGAAACCAGGCAATGTTCTGTGTGATCCACAGGGAGGCAGGACCCTCACTCATCTGCTGATGGGAACTCTTTGTGTAGCTACTTCTGAAGGGTACGTAGGTAGGGACTAGATACAAGGCATCTGCTTCCCAGAAGGCTGTGGGGGAACCTGAAACCACAAATATCTAACCAAAATCCATCAGTGCAGGACGGAAGGCGAAAGCCAGAGAGACCATCTCCAGAATCCGGCCAGGGGAAATGACAACTGCTGGGTATAAGCTGGCTGGCGGTGGGTCACAGAAACATAGTTGTTGAGTCGAAGGAACCCCCTGTGTCCCACGAGACCCCCCCCCAGACCCAAACTCTGAGGGGAGTTTGTCCCCTGAGAATGTAACCCCGGGGCTCCGGGCAAAGCAGTGAGGGGCAGGGACGATCTGAGAGCAGCTTCCCCCAAAGGCAGAGGCCTTTGCCCTGTGGTAGGTGTCACACTGGCCCCTGAAAGGCCCAGGTGTGGGGCAGAAACAGAGTCCCACGGAGGGGATGGGTTGACCGTCTGCCCGCCCCACACACACACAGTGCCTGTCCATAAAAGCTCGCACATCATTATCACTGAACCAAGGTTTGTTTAAAAAAAAAAACTAATGGGCCATTCTGAATGGGAATTGGCCCTGATTTCTGGAATTACTGACCCAGAATGGAAAACGCTAGCTCTGTCCTGCCTGGAGGTGGCCCGGCCCCTAAGGGGACAGATCTCTGTGTATACAGGAGTTAGGGGCGGGCTCTGACATGCTCTCCCCTCTCCCCCGACAGAGGCTTCGAACCGAGAACCGGCTCCTGAAACAGCGGATTGAGACCCTGGAGAAGGTGAGGGGCGTGGCCACCAGCCCATCCACCAAACCCTCCAGGCCCAGCAGGACCCAGCAGCCAGAGGGCCAGCCAGCCCCCTGCCCTGGCCCTGCCCTGGATCAGCAGGCTCAGAGGAGCGTGGCGTAAATTCCACGGGCCCCCATGAGCCCCACTGAGATTTGAGCTGCCATATAAACGGGGGCCTTGGGGAAACTTGGCTTGGGGCTGGGTGTTGAGTTACAACCTAATGAACCACAAACGCCACAATCCATTTGTGTGCCCTTCCGGGCTGCCTGGGTGGGGGGAAGGAGGCAGAATGGCCTCTGTGACTTAGATGCCCCAGAATCAGGCCACAAGGCACTCCACCCTGTAATTTGGAAGCCTCACCCTCAAAAGACAGGAGACAGAGTAGAGGAGGAGGGGGCGGCCTTGTCCCGGCGCCTCAGTGGGCTGCCACGGCCTTGACCCCAGCCCCCCACCTGTTTTTAAAGATGGCTTAAAGGTGGGGGCCCCACCTCCTGCTCCTCCCTCGTTCTCACTTGCCCCTCCACTGCACAGGGAGCAGATCGTCCACATGAGTTTATTGTCCTTGCCCCAAAACCTTAATTCCTGTTCCGCCTCCAAGTCAAAACACACCCTCCCGCCCAGCGCTGCCACCCCCGTCCCTCGCCTTCCAGGGATGGCTCCTCCTCCCTCACTCGGGAGGCCCCAGCCTGGCCGGCCCTGGAGGGTCCACCACCCCAGAGGGTGCAGCCGTGGGCACCCCGCCTCCCCACTCGCACACAGACCCCTCTCCAGGACGGAGCTGGCTCTGGCTTTGGTCTTCCTCCGGGTCCTCTCCTGCTGGTTCTCTGGTTCTCCAGTCTCACTCCTGTCTCCCCTGCTTCTAGAGATAGTCCACTGCATTAGTGACAAGTGGTTCTTGTCTGTCTCTCCCCCTCTCCTGTCCCCGCGCCTTCCGCTCTGCCTCCTCCCCCTGTCGCTCGGACCCCTCGGCCGGGTAGGAGAGCGCTGCTCTGGCTGATAGGTTAATCCAGGTACTGTAGCTTTTCGTCTCCCTCTCCCACCTCCTTCCTGTCCCGCACACGACAGCCAGGAGCCACCTCTTCCCTGGCCGCGGCCATCCCGGGGGCGAGGGGGGCAGGCCGGGTGCTGTGCATGGGGGCGGCTGGGGACCGCTTCTCAGGGGAGAGAGGGGGGTGCGCATGTGGGTGCATCTGTGAGTGTGTCTGTGAATGTGTGTACACACATGTACAGAAAGCTTCCTCCCTCCAGGGAACACAGGTGGGGACCCAGGAGGGCTCAGGAACCCTGAACCCTGTATCAGCATTAGGCCCTGGTGTGTGCACTGCGCAGAACCTCCCCAGCACACACACAAATACACACACACACACACACAACACCCCTTCTGGTCCCTCAGCTCCTCTCTGCTCCTACCTGCAAGGCCTGCCATCTTCTCTCACTCACCTGCTTCTGCTGCTGCCTTATCTTGAATGGCTCTATCTGGAAGCTTCTGCCTGCCACCTGGTGGCTCCGAGCCTGGAATGGGGGGCCCAAATTGGGTGGGATGAGGGGGTGAGGCTGGTTTGGGGTCCTAGCCCCTGGCAGGTGGGCGCCCCAGGGTTCAGGACTGGAGAAGGCCCTGGGAGAGGTATATTCCACCTCCCAACCCCGCCCGGAAGAGCCAGCCCTGAGCCTCTGGGGCCTCGTCTGCCCCCAGACCCCCACCCTCACCAGCAGAGCCCTGGCTAAGAACTCATTTCTCCTCACCTGGGACAGAGGGAGACCGAAGCAGGGAGGGAAAGGAGCTGTCTGCAGCCCCGGCCTGGGGGCCCCATTCTCCGTTTAAGCCCCACAGAGCCTGGACCCCGGTGGGTCTGTTCTTTCGGCCTCCTCCGGTGTCCTGTACCTGCCTGCCCCCCACCCACGTCCCCGGGCCCCGTGGGGCGCCCCATCCCAGGCTCTGAGTGCGGGAGGCCTCATCCTCTCCCTTCCGCCCCGCCTCCGCCCCCTCTGGGCCTCCCCTGCGGTGGGCTCGAGGCGGGGCCTGGGCTGTGAGCAGAGGGTCACGGCACCGTGTCCTCGCTGTGCTCAGGGGCAGGTGACACGGGCGCAGGAGGCCGAGGAGAACTACGTCATCAAGCGGGAGCTGGCGGTGGTGCGGCAGCAGTGCAGCTCGGCGGCCGAGGACCTGCAGAAGGCGCAGAGCACCATCCGCCAGCTGCAGGAGCAGCAGGTACCAGGCCAGGTGGGCGGGGCCTCCGGGCTGGGCCACGCCCCTCGCCTGCCACCGGCGCGGATCATGCGCAACTGACTCGGGATCAGCCCTCCCTCGACTTCCGGGGGGGTGGGGGTTGGGGGGACGGGGGGGCAGGGGAGGAGAAACCCAGACCGACCGCAGATTCCCCCAGCCCCACGCTAGGGGTGGGGGGATCCTGTGTCCATTTCCCACCGCCCCGTGGGGTGTCAGGCCTGCTGCATTGAGACCAAGCAGTGGGCCTCCCTGGCCCCCAGCCCCGGCACGAGGGCCCCGGAACCAGGCTGTCCCTGCAGGGCCCCTCCCTCGGCTGATGGGGCTGTGATTCTTTGGGGGAGCCCTGGCGTCTCCCCAGGGCCTGAAGGACTGTTGCGCTTCCCCGGGGGCCAGCCATGCAGGGTAGGAGCTAGGCCGAGGGACAGGGGAGGGGCCCGCCTCCTCGAGTGCTCTGGACGTTGCCGTCAGAAGAGGGTCTGGTCTGTGCCCACGGCTCTGAGCTGGCAGGGCGGGGGTGAGGGGGCACCCCACGTCTGTTGTGGGGTCGTGACCTCCTGATCAGCAGTGGGAGGGCCCCCAGGCTGGAGCACCACGGGAAGAGGCCGCTTCTCTGGGAGGGGACTTTAGGCCTTTTGTTCAGCCATACCCAGCAGGCTGCCTTCCTCACGTGAGGACCGGCCAGCCGCTGAGGCCCCCAAGCTCGCGCGCAGGCCTGAGCACATGCCCTGGAAGGGCAGGGAAAGATGCTCTAGGTTCCCCCACCCCCTGTGATCCGGTGCTGAACCCAGCAGCGCCGGGCAGGGAGGTGGGGGTCCCCGATGTGGAGACAGCACAGGGTGCTTAAGAAACAACGAGTGGGAAAAGGAAGGGTCATTCACTGAGGAAGACCCTCCCCCACCGAGCCAGGCCTGGAGACCTGGGCTCAGGCCTTGGCTGAGGGATTCGAGTTGATTCTTTGCTCCTGGGGCCAGGGAGGCAAAGCTTCATCATTTCTCGCCTGCATCCACCTCCTGCCCCCACCTGCGAGCTCGGTAGCCCCACCTCCATCTGAGGCAGCATAGCTGATGGGGAAACCGAGGCTGGGCTCATGCCACCCATGGCACAATGCCCCCTTTCTGGCCAGACAGACATCCACCTGCTACCCCTGAGCTCCAGCCTTTAAGGGATGCAGAGATGGAGGCAAGGAGGCCACGCAGGCAGAGGGAAGCCATGCGGTAGCTGGCTGGCCCTGAGTGCTGTCTCCGTCTCCACGAGAGGCTCCTGGAGGAGGCACAGCCTGGCAGGGCCCAGGCTCAGCACCCATCTGACACCCACGGACCTCAGAGGCCCACAGTGGTCACGGGCAGCGAGCAGGCCTGGGCAGCTGGGCAGGAAGGCAGTAAAGAGCAGGGCGGGGGTGGGGGGCTGGGGCCAGCTCGCAGAGAACCGCCCTGCCAGGCCCCGGGGGCAACAAGATGGGGACCTGGCTGTGGCCACAGGAGCTTCCCTCACCCACAAGCCAGGTCTCCGCTGTTGGGTCCAGGTGGCACCCATCACCCCTGGGCCCCCCACTGGGGACCTCTGAGAAGCCTTCTGGGCACTGCAAGAAAGTGAGTCCAGCCAACTCTTTCCCTATCCTTCCTGTTTGGAAATGGAGGCGGTAGAGAGGAGGGGCACAGAGAAGGAAGGGCAGGATGCCCTGAGCCCCACCCCCGCTCCCACTGTGTGGTTAGGCCACTGACCGCACAGCAGGAAGGGCGCCTCAGAGAACCCATCCTGCACCCCCACCCCAGCGATCGTGGGAACCAGTCATTGGCATCCCCCGGGGCATCCTGAGGCTGTGGAAGGTCCCCTTCAGAAGGTCCCTCTGGGTGGTGTTCCCAGGAAGGAGGCCAGGTTGGGCCGGCCACACCAGTGCCAGGACCCCCGGGCACAGAGCATCAGGGCCGCCATGGCATCCAGCTGTCCTCCAGGAGGGCAGAAGGCACAGGAGGGGGACCCAGGGTTCCTCCTTGCTCTCCTCTCCACCCCCAGCCTGAGCCCCCCTCCCAGCCCAGAAAGGCTGCCCACCTTCCTGCCACAGCCTCGGGCCGACGCAGCCCTCTGCCTGCCCCCAGGATAACCCGCGCCTCACCGAGGACTTCGTGGCCCACCTGGAGACCGAGCTGGAGCAGTCGCGGCTGCGGGAGACGGAGACGCTGGGGGCCCTGCGGGAGATGCAGGACAAGGTTCTAGACATGGAGAAGGTGCGGCTGGGCAGGCGGGCGGCTGTCGGGGAAACTCTGGGAAGGAGAGCTGGGGCTACTGGGCTCGCTTCGGGAGGGGCATCACCAGCACTAGCCCGAGAGAATGGGCGGCCAGGGGGACCCGTGGGACGTGTCCTGGAGTCAGATCCCCGCTGCCCGGAAGTCCCCGGGCACCTCCCTGGCCCCCTCGTCCCCTGCTTCCCCGCCATGGTCTCCACAGGAGGGTCTGGGCAGATGGGAAGTTGGGCCCCTCACCCCCAGACCCCCCCCAAACCCTGGAGGTACACACACACACACACACACAGGGCACACACGAAGCAGCACGACTCCACGAGGGGCACACTCGCCCTCATGACCAGGCACAGGGCCAGCAGTGCGGTGGCTTCCGTGGGCTTCCAGACAGCCCGACCCACCTGTGTCTCCCCCTGGCCCTGGGTTCCTGGATGGAGGGAGGGGACGGAAGGCCCAGCCCATCAGGGTTGCTCTGCCCCATGGAGACACCACCAAGGGGGCCGACTGGGGGCTGCCCTCTCCTGCCTGCAGCCCTGCAGGGAGCACCAGGCCTCCTGGGTCCCCCCCACCACCTGCTTTCGTGCTGACTCAGTATTGCAACTCGCACGGAACCGCCAGAAGGGAGGTGCCCTGGCCACCAGAGGGCAGCAGGACCCACTCACACCACAGCGGGAGCCATTCCCCACCCCCTTGAGCCTTTGCTATTTTGGGTCCCCTCCCAGGTGGGGTGTCTGCCACAGCCTTGCATGGGGCCATCGGCCTCTCAGTCCCCATCAGCCAGCCCAGAGCTGGGCTTCCCTCCCTCCACATAGGAGGGCAACGTGCACCCAGTCATCCTGCCGCCCTCCCCCAACTCCCAGTCCCAAACAGGGGTCATGAGGACCTGGTGCAACAAGCTGGATTGTCGTCCAAGAGGCTGGACCACAAATCTCTCATCGCTGAGCCCTTGGGAGGCCAGGACAGGGCCTCGGCTCGCCCTCAGCCTGACCCCAGGGAGAGGGGCTGCCTGGGGGCCCAAATCCACGGTCTCTCAGCTCCTGCTGGGGCAGGGCCCGGGGCTGGTCACGGATCTGATTCCCAGGTGGATAAGTACCTGCCCCGGCCCAGCTGCCTGGTGTGATGGCAGTAACGTTTATGGAGGCCCCATGGTTGTGGGGCTTGCCCTGGGAGAGAGTGGGTGCTGTTATTACACCCATTTCTCAGACGAGCATCTCTGGTTTGCTCTGCTCTGGCCTGGTCCACGTTCCCTGTATTCTGGGGTCCAGGGTGCACCCTCTCCCAGCCGGGCTGCCCAAGGTGGAACTCCAAGGACACGTGGGGCTGGCGGGGGTCTCGGCCCTGCAGGAAGGGCCGCGAGGCTGCGCAGCTGCCCCAGGCGCTGAGCTCTTCTCGCCCCGCAGAGGAACAGCTCGCTGCCCGACGAGAACAACGTGGCGCGGCTGCAGGAGGAGCTGAAGGCGCTCAAGGTGCGGGAGGGCGAGGCCGTGGCCTCGGCGCGGGAGCTGAAGCTGCAGCTGCAGGAGCTCTCGGACACCTGGCAGGTGAGGGCCCAGCCCCGCGCGGCCCCGTGCGCCGGGCTCCCCGGGGGGGCTGACGCCGACCTCGCCCGCCAGGCCCACCTGTCCCGCGGCGGCCGCTGGAAGGAGTCCCCGCGGAAGCTGGTCCTGGGCGAGCTGCAGGACGAGCTGATGAGCGTGCGTCTGCGCGAGGCGCAGGCCCTGGCCGAGGGCCGCGAGCTGCGGCAGCGCGTGGTGGAACTCGAGACGCAGGTGGGCCGCGCCGTCTGCGGGAGGGCTGGGGGGCCGCGGCCTTGGCTCGGCCGTGACCCCGCGCGTCCGCCCGCCCTCCCTCCTCCCCCAGGACCACATCCACCGCAACCTGCTGAACCGCGTGGAGGCGGAGCGCGCGGCGCTGCAGGAGAAGCTGCAGTACCTGGCTGCGCAGAACAAGGGGCTGCAGACGCAGCTCAGCGAAAGCCGCCGCAAGCAGGCCGAGGCCGAGTGCAAGGTGCCCCCTGCCCCGCCTGCCCGCTGCCCTGGCCCCCCCTCGCCCCGCCACGCCGCCTGACCTGCCCTCTCCCCCCAAACCCCAGAGCAAGGAGGAGGTGATGGCCGTGCGCCTGCGGGAGGCGGACAGCATGGCGGCGGTGGCCGAGATGCGGCAGCGCATCGCCGAGCTGGAGATCCAGGTGAACGGCGAGGCCGGGGCCGCGCGCGGGCATTGGGGTGGGGTGGGGCCTGCCGTGACCCCGCGCGCCCTGGCCCGCCCGCAGAGGGAGGAGGGCCGCATCCAGGGCCAGCTGAACCACTCGGACTCGTCGCAGTACATCCGCGAGCTCAAGGACCAGATCGAGGAGCTGAAGGCCGAGGTGAGCGCGGGAGGGGCGGGAGAGCGGGGGAGGGGTGCCTGGCAGCCGATCGGCCCGTGGGAACGTCGCTGCCCGCCCCCAGCGCCCCGGTCCCCGCCCCAGGTGCGGCTGCTGAAGGGCCCGCCGCCCTTCGAGGACCCGCTGGCCTTCGACGGGCTCGGCCTGGCGCGGCACCTGGATGAGGACTCGCTGCCCTCGTCCGACGAGGAGCTGCTCGGCGTGGGCGTGGGCGCCGCGCTGCAGGACTCGCTCTACCCGCTGTCGCCGCGCGACGCGCGCTTCTTCCGCCGTCTCGAGCGGCCGGCCAAGGACAGCGAGGGCAGCTCGGACAGCGACGCCGACGAGCTGGCCGCGCCCTACAGCCAGGGCCTGGACAACTGAGTCCGTGCCCACGCGCCCGGAGGCAGGGGGCCGCCGCCCGCTCCTCCGCCGGCCCGCCGGCCGCGCCTATACTCCGGCCGGCCCCAAGGGCTAGGCCCAGGGCGGCAGGGCGCAGAGGGCAGGGCCGGATCTGAGGATCGGCAGGGTCCCCGGCAGGCCCACCCTCCCCAGCAGTGTTTACCCATCTTGGTGGCACTCCTCCGGGCCCAGTTCCCTGGAGGGTCCGCCCCTTTTAACAGCGAGGGCCCCGGACGACCCAGAGGGCCCAGGACTCGATGGCAGGAAGCCCCCTCCTCCCAGCAGGCCTCCTTCTGGGACAAGGGCGGCCCTGCCAGGAAGGGCCTGGGACCTAGGGAGGCCTGAGGAAGAAAGGGCAGCTCTGGGCTGGACGGAACCCCCCCGCAGTGCCCCTGGGGACCCTTGGCCGCCAGGGACAGATGGCCTGGCTGGGCTTTCCTGCCTGGTGCAGGTGTCATGGCCCCTGCAGCAGAAACCAAAGTCCCCCCTACTGTGCAGGGCCACCTGGGGTGCGTGGCCAGCGGGACCCAGCCCAGGCCTGGGCACTGTCTGTCCCTGCTGCTTGGGGGCCAGAGCAGCTGTGAGGATGTCATGAGACCCTTCTCCCCAGTGCCCCACATCTTCCTCCATGAGATGTCCCATCACCCTGTCTTGGCCAGTGATGGAGGGGCTCCCCCACCCAGGCTAGCCTCCTCTCCAGGGGGGGCCCAGCCTCCACTTCCCTCCTTCCCTGGGTCCCCAGCCCCACCCTCCAGCCAGGGCCAGGCCCCAATGGAGGAGCCTCCCTGTGGTGGCCCCGTGGTCTCTGTGGAGTCAGAGCCAAGAACGGTGCCAAAGTCCAGCGATACCCTAGACCCCTTGCCCCCAGGCCTCATGACCCTCGGGGCTGACCCTCTCGGTGCTCCTGGAGCCTCGAGCCATGTCACAAGCAGTCTCCCTGGCGCCTCCTGGGTGGGGACCCACGCTCAGTCCCCTTCCCTGGTCGCCCACTCCTCAGTGTTACAAAGCCTGGGGACCAGTGTGGGCATCTCGGGCTCTCCCATGTGCCCCCCACACTGCCCACCACCATTTTGCACACTGCCTGTTCACACTCCACATGTCGCCCAGGCGGGAAAGATGGAAAATAAAGTGTATTTACACAGTCACGGAAAGGGGACCCTGAGAGGCGCAGGCCTGGTGGGGGGGGATCGCAAGCAACCGTGGGGCCCCAGCCCCTTGTCCCAGGAAGCAGTGGGGAGGGGAGCTGGCTGTCCTTGCCCTGGGGAGCCTCCCACAGCCTAAGAATCAGGGGGAAAGGTCATAGAAGGCCAGCAGGGGCCAAAGAGGCCGCCAAGTTGGGATGCTCTATGGAGAAGAAAGAAGGGCGTTCGTTGGTTCAGTGTGAGCAGAAGTGTGGGGGTGGGAGAGACAGTATGGGGGACAAATCACAGTGGACCTTGGATGTTAGGCTCACAAATGGACCTCTATAGCGTGGCTCTGGAGATGGGGAGGGCGGGGAGGGGTGGGGGGAGCATGATTTCCTAGCTTGGGCCTCCTGGAGAGACCTGGAGGAATGCGGAGTCTCGGGGCTTCAGGAAGATGCAGGATATGGTAGTGATCATTCAGCACACACTTCCCGAGGCCTTCTGGGTGCTCCGCCTTGTGCCTGGCTCTGAGGGGTCCGCACTGTAGTGGAGGAGACAGACACCGGGGTGGGGGTCGGGGCTGAGCCTGCAGGCTAGTGTGGCAAGTGCCCAATAGACAAATGTGTAGGGAGATCAGGGAAGGCTTCCTGGAGGAGTTGGTGGGTGTCAGAGCCATCTCCAAGGGCAAAAGCAAAAAGGTGAGACAAGGCAGGGACCAGCACAAGGCACCTGATGGCTGTGAAGAAGAAACAGGAGAGAGTGGGCGTGGCCAGACCAGGAAGGGGCTTCTCCAGTCAGGAGCCAGAGTTTGTGCTTTGAACTGAGGGCAGTGGGGAGCCATGGTGGGCTTAAGTGAGGGGGCCACCATCACCTCCTGTGCCCATGGAGTAATTCCACCCCAGCTGGCTCCCCGGGATGGGGCAGGGTCCTGGAGGGACCATCTGAGGTTCTGCCCTGCTCCCTCTTGGTGGCTGGCCTTGAGGCCTCAGCTACCCAGTGTGTCAGGGATCAGCCCTTACCCTTGGGCTTGTCTCAGTGACTGGAAACAAGGAGACCTGGGTCCTCACCAGGTCCCAGTGAGGAAGGGAACCTCTGGAGTTTTCCACCGGACTCGCAGTTTGAGTGAGGGAGCATGCTTCGCCCCGACCCCCAACACTGGCCCCCAGGGGTGGAGGCAGCAGTGGCCACTGGGACGGGACTGATTTCTTCTCAGACCTTAGGCTGGGAGGTGGCCGCGTCTGGGCTGGGGTCAGGCAAGACTTGGTGATCTGTGTCTGACAGAAACCTGGCTACAGGGTGCACTATGGGGACTGGGTGTAGGGGCAGAGACAGTGCTGAGGGGTCCCACTCTGTCCTTTACCCTGCCCTGGGGAGTGTGGCCCCTGCCAGGCCTCCATCATTCTTGGTGTGAAGCAGGAGACCCTCGGAGAGCAAAGAATGGGGGGGCACTTTGGAAGAAAGGCCCCAGCTGGGGCTTGAGGGGTCCAGGGTCAAGGCGACTGGGCTGCAGGAGGAAGGGCAAGGAATTCTGATGAGGGAGACAAGTGAAGACATTGGTTGGCTCTGGTGAGGAGCCTGGGGGGGGGACACCCTAAGTTGGGGGGAAAGGTGACGCCCATGGGTTGGGAGGCACAGAGGGGCATGGTGAGGACATCTGCAGAGGAGGGGGCAATGTAAAGACTCCCGAGTCTCCCACCCAGCCTTGGGAGAAGCTGCTCCTTCCCTGCAGGCCCCCCAAGGACAAGGAATCCTTGGCAAAGCCTGGCCCAGGAGGACCCTACGCCCCACACCGGGTCTTCCTGACGACCCCGGGCCCAGCTGCAGGCCTGCCTTCTGCGCTACAGCCTCCTCGATGAGCAGAGGGCAGTGCGCGCAGGGTTGGGAGGCCCCGGAGGGAACCCAGATCGCCATCGGTCTCAGGCCGCCCTTCCCTCCCGCACCTCAGGGCCTGCAAGGTAAGGGGGTTGCGCAGTGTGAGGAAGGACCTCAGGAAGGGTCCGCACCCTCGCTTCGGACCCAAGCAAGCCCTCCCCACGTGTCTTCCCCCTCCGCCTGGGAGCGCCGGCTCCCCTGGCCCAGTATAGCTTCTGTGGTTCATCCACGCTGTCCACGCACTGGCTCATCCATCCACTCGGTCACGCGGCCCCACCGGGGCCCCTCCTGCAGTCGCCCACGTTCACGCATGGGGACTCGGCAGCGCCCGGTGCCACCCCAGCCCCGCCTCACGCGCCCCTTATCCTCAGTGGAGAAGGTGCACCGCCAAGCGGTGGGCGGAAAGGCCTTCAGCCAGAGCTACAGCCTGCTCCGCACAGCTGCCAGCTCGGCTTGGGCCTTACCCTTCGCGCCGCCCCGCCCTCTGCTCGGCCCCGGGGAGGCCCCCAGCCCCGGTCCCCGGGGCAACAGCGAGGGCGCACAGACTGCAGTGTCCCGGCTTTATTGCAAACTCGGGCGCGCAGTAGAAGGTACACTGGACATGGGGCGGGGCCTAGGCCGGGGGACGGGGCTCGAGGGGAGGACCAAGGTCAAAACTGTGGGTGGGTCGCGAGCCTGGGCCAAAATTTTAGGGCTCTAGGGGGCTGAGACCGATCCACCTGGAGCCGAACTCCAAGAGGGGAAGGGGGTCTAAGACAGGCGTAACCGGAGGGGCGGGCCCTAAGGCAGGGGTGGATCTGGTGGGCGGGGCTAGGGTCTGGCTCAGTGAAAGGTCTCCACCTCCACCACGGTCCAGTCACCCTGCGGGGAAGCCACGTCGTCCGGGGAGAAGCTGGTGACCGAGGTGATGCTGGCGCGGGACTCGTCCAGGGGAGACAACAGTTCGGCCCAGCGGCCCAGTTCGGCGTCGCTGAGCGCCGTCCGGGTGCCCCCCGCGACGCCGCCACCCCCTGCGCCCCCTGGGCCACCGCCGCTGCCACCCGCGGCACCCTCGG